TGTGTGTGTGTGTGTGTGTGAACGTGTGTGCACGCAGGTGTGTACGTGTGTATGTGTGTGCAAGTGTGCGAGTTCGTGCGTAGTGTGTCCTTCTATTGGCCTGTATGTAATAACTCCATAAACCCCTCCAGGCATCCGCATCTCCACCAAAGCTCCCAGAGAACAGCCCCCTCCGTTCAAAAAGACCCCCAAAGAAGCAGGAGGGTCTATGGCGAAGAATGCACACACCGACAAAGGAGGAGGCGCTGACGAACGCATGTGAGGTTTTAAAAAAATTTTTAGTAAGAATTTTACTGCACGTGCCAACCCAAATAGGTCATAATATAAGTGCTTAAGATTAATGGTGTTACTAAAGAGTAACATACAAAGAACTGGAGAAGGAGAGATAATGGATGATAGATGTTTGTTAAGGAAGAAGGAGCACACAAACTCTAGAAACCCACCAGCCAACCATCCACTGTTATGATTTAATTGTACTTCAATTCGGTTTTAAGAAGAGAACAGTATGCAAGCAAAAAATATATAACAAAGTTCTAACTAGGATTATTTGTATGAGTGTGTGTGTGTGTGTGTGTGTGTGTGTGCATGTGTGTAAGTATGTTTGGGGTTCGAGAGTCTGGGGCCTCCAACCGAAGGCCTTCTACGCCTACAACACATGCAAAAGCTACTTCTGTTTCTTTATTTTCTTAGATTATGAGACAACATGAAGAAAATTTATTTTTCATTTAAAGAAGATATGAAAGTGCATCAAAACTTTGAACTCAAAATTAAAGAAGGAAATCTCAAAAGAGAGTGTAAATGAGGTAAAACCTTGCTGTTCTAGGACCACGATTTATTATTCAGCAAGTCCATACATCAGAAAGAAAATTGGGACCAGGAGGACGGGCTGACGAGTCAGCGCTAGTCAAATAGGACTTCAGATTTGCATTGACAAGGCTGAATTTGCCGGGTTCTTCGTGCGTAGAATAATTCAAACTTGTCTTCTATTTGTTTTTACGAGTAGTTCAAAGAGACAAATACGTTCCGAAATATAAAAGGAGTAAAAATTTAAAGAAACGCGGAAATCTAGAAAATCGGCACCCGCATTTCTTCTGAAAAAAAAACCTACATGGAAACCGCTGTCAGCGTATTTTCCTGAGTTCATACCAGTTACGAAAAACGCAACACCATGGCGGCGAAATGTGGTAATGGATGGGGAGTAACTCTCTGAATAAGAGGGATAGTTTCGTAGCTGAAAGTTTTAAGTTCTCTCCCTTCCTGTAGTTATCGCTTTCAATCATTAGATAACTGCAGTCTGCCGTGCTTTATAAAAGCAAGGTGTTGTTTTTGAAGAGTGCATTATTGTGCAAACAGTGCATCTCTTAGGTCAGGATATCCAGTAGAAGAAAGGGATCAAGCCGTTATATAAAAAGCAAGTGTTTGTCCTGAGAGAAGATAATAATGGTAAAAGTACTAAAAGACAACAATAATTGTTAAAAATTTAAAGACTATTGTTACCCAAAATTTAGCTTTTGTTTTATTCCCCTATGATCTTTTAAGGAGAGTTACAACAGTCAAGCTCAAAGACCTCTTATTATGCTGTGTCTGCTATAAATTATTTAAATCTAGTATTATCATGTAGAATAGAAAGAGGGATTCGAGTGACCTGTATAACATTGCTTCTGCAATTTTAGGAACAATTCTTTTTTCACAAAAAACGCGAAGACGTTGAATGCTTTATCTCATTTTCTTTTGTTCTCTCTTGTCTCCTCTACTACCTAAAACATTAGTCCTATAATGGCAATGATATCTTCTACTACTTTTAATACTTACATAATGACATTGGCGTCATCTGCTATTTATAATACTTATTTAATGACATTGGTGTCACCTCTGTACAATACTTTCATAATAACATTGGTATTATCTCCAGAGGAAAGCAGTTGACGTCCAGTCAACAGGGCAGTCTGCCCGGCTATTTAACAGACGAGAAAAACATTTTGAAATACTCAAAGACTTCGTCTTCACAAATCGTCACCAAACGCAGCAGCGTCATCGCCCGGAAGTTGGAGAGCGACCGGATCGAGGACGAGGCGTCTGTAGACATCCCCATGTCTACGAAAACGCCCAAAGAACACCCGGGCCCAGCCAGTGCTTCCACCAAGACCTCATCCACCATAGCCACGTCAATGTCTGTGTCCAGCACAGTCGCACCTGTTAACGATATTATTCTAGAAGACAATCTAGAATCTTCATCAGTAACTAACTTGACTCAGAGAAACGGGTCTAATATTTGTGTTGCCGTTAAGAACGTCGAAACGACGGAGGCACGTTCGTGCAGCACGTCAGATCTTTCCCCGAACATCGAAGCTAAGCTGAGCATCGCCCAAGTGTCCACAGAGGAACCAGTTTCCCGTTCAGACTCGGCGCTCTCCAAGAGAAGGGCTGACAAATCGAAACATCGAGGTAGTAAGTCCACCAACCCTTCTACCCCAGCAGGGTCACTGACGGCGGTTTCTAAATCGAACGAAAACGTCGACGGCAGACCTCGCTCCTCAAACTCTCATCGTCATCACCATCATCATCACCATCATCATCACCCCCACCATCACGCAAAATATGGAACTCATTCCAAAATAACTTCTCCCAAAAAGACCTTTAAGTTCACGTCAAAGGACGAAAAGACTCAGTTCTTTGTCAAAACAGTCAAGTCTAACGACGAGAACGATGAGGACCTGGGTGACACCAAAGATATTCTGATCCAGACGGACGTAGTCACGGTCAATGATCACAACGAGAAGTCCAAAAAGAAGCTCTTAATCAAAATGAAGAAACTAGGCAGCAAAGGTAAGACAATGTTTTTCTTCTTCTCTTGTTCGTTTTATTTTCAGGCTCATTTTGCTCTGAAAATTTGGCTTGGATAACAGGTAAACGTTCTATGCTGTCCTCAATTCCATCACTTCATTTTATCAGTGATACGTTTTTCAGCATTTTCATCATCATCGTCATCACCATCGTCATCACCATCGTCGTCATCATCATCATCATCATCATCATCATCATCATCATCATCATCATCATCATCATCATCATCATCATCATCATCATCGACGAGAACGTTTTTATAAGCGACTTTTCTACCATCACTTGCTCTTGTCTCATTTTATTATTATTTTTTACTGGTCAAAATATTCTTTCCCTCTCCCAAACAACTGATATCTTATTTCATTGAAAAAGTGAACTTTCTTTTTCCTACCAGGGATCAGAAAGGGGGGGCCGATAAAACTAAAGAAAGAGTCGGGTGTAATTTTTCTTCTTGGGATCAGGGA